TGATGGTTGCTTTAAAATATCAATTTGGTATATATGTGAAAGGATAAATCAGTAGGAGATGAATTTTCGGTTTCTTTACATTTTGCATCACAAATCTAGTACTATGTGTCATTTTCTCAAAACCCCCCAATAACCGACCTCTTCAATCCCTTCCTTTTCCCATGGCGTTCAAGTGGTCCGCATAGACTATTCAGCCATTACCCTTCCTTCATCCTCGGCTTTGGATTGACTTGCGTTCCCATTGCCCCACCAAACGGTGCAAAATGAAAATGAAATATGAACATAACATGTTTCGTTATCAAATCATAAACGAATAGTATACATGCGAGTAATTGCCATGAATACCGAATATTCTAGGTTTTCTAAATCGTCCTGGAGTTCAGTTGATTTGTTCTACTATATCAACCAGGGCTGCAATGATGTCTGTAGTATCGAAATATGTCCAAACAGATTCAAAGTGCCTATGTGGATAGTGTCCGACCTATTGCTACGTATACAAGATGTTATAGGTGTTGAAATCATTCTGGAGATCAGATTATTTTTCTACTAGATCACCCAAGACTAATTCAATACCTGTAGTATCGAAATATGCCCAAACAAATTCGCAGTGTGTATGTGGATCATGCTAATCTATTTCCGGCTATGCTCTAGGTATGTTCTAAGATTTCCAAATCGATATTTCGAAACTACCAATATTATCCCAGTCTTTGTTGATCTAGTAAAACAAATCATCTGAACTGCAGGACGATTTGGAGAACCTAGATCGTCTGGTATACGTGGAAATAATTAAACATTATCCATATAGACACTATGAATCTGTTTGGATATATTTCGATACAACACTTTATCCCACACAGTTAAAATTATTTTGTTTTTTTACACGAATCCATGCACATAAAAGGAGCATGAATATTCATGTAAAATTAAATTGGTTTTTAAATTTACACGACTTGAAATTTACATGCATGTAAAATTAAACCCCACTTGAATTTTACATGGATGGCTTTAGATGGGCTCACTTTGTAAAGGGTGTCCATGATGAAATTGCCACACTATGAAATTGCTCTAACTTTTTAACCGTTGGGTAGAATTTAATGAAAATTTGGGTGGATTTAGTTCATAGTGCATTATTTACATCCTGCAGCTCGTGCGTGATAAAATCTTGCGCATTCATCACGAGAACAAGGATCTCTCGCATCGTTCCATCGTTAAAACGTTGGGAATCGCGAATTCCACGGTGTCGTGAGTGATTAAGCGGTTCGAGGAACGGTTGACCACCGATCGGAAGCCCAGAAGTGAAGGAAAAAGTATTCCGTACAACACCAAAAATCACAACCGCGTAGTTGGGGCCTTCAACCGAAATCCAACGCCTCCGTTAGGGATGTGGCTAAGAAGCTGCACCTAAGCCGAAGTTTTGTCCAGAAGGCCAAAACTAAGGCTGGGCTTCAAACGTTAAAGGTACAAAAGGCCCCTAATCGCGACGAGAAGCAGAACAAGTCCGCCAAAACCCGTGCCAGGAAGTTGTACCTCAACATGCTGACGAAAGTTAAATGCTGCATCATGGACGACGAAACATATGTGAAGGCTGACTTCAAACAGATCCCCGGCAACCTGTTTTTCACGGCCAAGGATAAGTTCAGCGTTCCGGAGCATGTCTGCACTCAGAAGATGTCCAAATTTGCCAAGAAATTCCTGGTTTGGCAAGCCATCTGCACGTGCGGGAAGCGGAGTGCACCTTTCGTGACCCAGGACACGATGAACGGACAGGTGTACATAAAAGCGTGCCTCCAGAAGCGGCTGCTTCCTCTCCTGAAGGCCCACAACGTCCCAACAATCTTCTGGCCGGATTTGGCCTCATGCCACTACTCCAAGGACGTGCTGAAGTGGTATGCGGACAATAAGGTCAATTTCGTGCCGAAAATGTTCAACCCTCCCAACACTCCGGAGCTCCGCCCCATCGAGAAGTACTGGGCGATTATGAAGCAGCACCTTCTTAAACGACCTAAGGTAGTGAAGACAGTCGAGGAACTGAAGAAAGTATGGGTTTACATGCAAAAAACGGTTGATTCACAGGTTGCGCAGAATCTTATGGCCGGGGTTAAGGCCAAGGTGCGGGCATTTGCGTATGGACTGTAAATAAAATACGAGTAAAATGGTAAAATGAAGTTTAATAGTTATTTCTCAATCCCTGAAAATTTGATGGCAATCGGATGAAAACTCGAATTTTGCGAATCAATTTTGTGTGTGGCAATTTCATCGTGGACACCCTTTAATTCTACAGGACATTTAGAATAACACGCATTTGGCTTTTTGAACGAAGTTGCATAAAATCGAACTGATTGTCAAGTACCCGGAATAATCACCCACGTGGAATAATCCGCCTTCACGGCACAGTACATACCCTACACTTCCACCGCTGCATCAAAACGATCAGTCAAGAGAAAAAAGGAACCACGTGCGCATTTTTGAATGTTTTTCTATTTTTCCATATCCATTTTTGCTATTCTGCACGAACTAAAAGTGCTAACTGTATAAAACCGCTGTAATCAATATTTTGTCTGTCATCCATTTTCTATTTGTGGACGCGTGTATGCACGATAAATCGTTCCACATAACCAAAACTGAGCGCACAAAACAAAACAAACTGAGTAGAGAAAAAACTTATCGAATAATCGGTCCGTCCGCCATATTAGCTTTCTCAATGTTTGTTGATTTAAGTTTACACGAGCATGTAAATTTATAGGTTTTATCGTTGAAAATCCGATGTTCTTCGATAAGTTTTTACATCACGTGGTGATATTACACTGCAAGAGAAAATTGATCGAATAAGCGTGTAATTTTATGAGGTTTATCATGTTTTTATTATGTGCATGATTTTTAATGTAAAATTAAATCAAAACATAGTTTAAAGCGATGTAATTTTAAAATGGTTTTGGTTTACATGTCATGTAATATTCCTTATTTTTTGCTGTGCAGTCATGGTTGATCTAGAAGAATAATGAACTCCAGAACGATTTGAAGAACTTATAATATATACCAGATGGCAATAATTCATGCATGATCCACATAGACACTGTGCATCTGTCTGGAAATATTTCGATACTAAAGTCATTGTCCCAATCTCGGTTGACGATTTCAAGAACCTTGAACATCTGGATTACTCGGAAATAGCATTATTCAGGGTGGCAAGTGAACCAGGAAAACCGGGGAAAAGTCGGGAATTTATTTTCACCAGGAAAAACCGGGAAAAACCCTGGAAAATAATCTTGTTTGTATAATTTAAATAGTTTTTAAATTTTATGTATGTCAAAGCTTTTTTTTATAATCAGGTCAAAACTAACCATTTTGTTCAAGCTAAATCTTTCACACAACTAACTTTGCCACAACACGTGAGGTACGGATCTAATGTAGATGGCCCAAGTCACGAATGAACTAAAATGTGATAATAATACAAATCAAATTTAGAAATGCTCTGAAAACTTTCATTGGGATAGAGCTGATCGATTAATGAAGTGATTCTGTTATGTCTGTTTGCCTTTTCTAAACACATAGGGGAAATGTATGTAATGTCGGCCTAAATGTCCCTAATTTGGGCCCATACATAAATTCAGCAATCGACTAAATTTTCAATAGCGACCAAAAATATCCATTAGTACCGTCCTTATGACGCGTTCATCTAGATAAAATTGATAAATAGCAGACTTTTAAAGATTGGCCCAATCTTAGATCCATAGGCCAACATTAGAGCCATTTCCCCTAGCACTCGTGATTGCACAAATTCAAAAGGGTCAATCGAGGTGTTAATTGAACAACCTATAAACTAAAGGTAACTAAACAAACGTGAACATACCTACCTAGCATCTCGGTAAGTAGGTACATACTTCCAAACACAATCGAGATGGTATGGTGTGCCAAATAATGAATACAGAGTGGATCGCAATAATTATTCATTTTTTTTCCACTACTACCATTCATTCGGTCGGTCGCCAGTGTAGTAGTGCCAAACACTAAATGAACACCCTTTCAGAATGTCTGTGATTCTCATTCCATGCATAAGCAATACTTATTAAGCGCACTTCATATGGATCAGTATTTGTGGGTGAGTCCGATGAATTTGATATGAAACTTCTTAACACGGAGTATGGGCAGGCATTTGATAGCGGGGTACGGGCTGCCGCCTATAGCTTTCTCTTTCGTTGATCCAAATTAGAACGTGAATTAGCTACGGATTTTAGTACTCTTCGTTGGCTAGTGTGTGCAAAAGGGGGATGCATGGTTTATTAAGCACACCCAGCTAATGGCAACACATGGCCCGCTGGACAAAGACTGTCGACTTCTGGAGTGTAATGAGCAAGCAGTTTCTGTTTCCAGATGCTCGTTTTTCCGTAGTGTGAAGCATGAAGGGATTGCGGAGAAGCATTGTAGCTAGCGGGGATCATATGGTTGAATTGTGATTGTTGTTGTTGATTTGATGTTGATGATGATGATCATCATAGTTTATTGCCGCTGTGTAGGGTAGTGGCATCGTATTGTATCTCGATCCGACAAGTATTGGTGCAGATCCATTATGTTTTTGTTTTTATTCAGCTAATTTGATTGAGCGCTCTTCAATTATTATATTATGTCTGATTCAGTAATTCTGGATGATAAACATTATTTCTTTATTATCGTGGTTTTTGCCCTAGGCTAGTTCATCAGGTTAAGTATGATAAACAAAAACTACGCATTGTTGTTACCCTTAAGAAATTAATCGCAAAGTTGAAAATAAATAATTGCATTTTAAGAACCTAGATAATGTACTTAATTTCACCCTATGCTACTTTAAAATACTTGCTGATTATTAATTGAACCAACGATAACCAGTCCCAGTCATTATCTTTGTCGGTTGTTTGCATTTCTCCCTATGAGATTTCCAGTTCTTCGTATCTTGTGACTCTTATTTGCACTGAATAAACAACTATTCCCTCTTCTCTCTCTCTCTCTCTCTTCCTTCCATCTAGTGCTAAACGGGCAGCGTGGCGATGGGCCAAAGATCGTGCTTCGGTAGCGGCTCGATGGACCTGGCTATTGGCACAGATCTCTGACCTCGAATACCGCATCCGACAGCACAACGAACTGCACAACAAGATTAAAATCAACAAAGGTGCCGTTGCGCTGGAAGATCCAGCACCTTCGTTGTCCCAACAACCTCCCTCGCAGCAGTCCGTCAACGGATACCGGGGAACTCTGCCCGGTAACAGCAAGCCGTTGGATGACGGTTCTGACTCCACCACGAGTACAGCTCATAATGGAGCGTACGACCAAAGCGGTGGCTCCTGTCGGACACGAGCCTTTCAACGGAATGGATTTCGAAAGCGGAAACTACTGCAGACTGCAAATCTGCATACCATTTCCAAGAAGGCTGCCCGACCTAGGTAAGTTCTGATGGCATCTGCTTAGGTTTCACTTTTCTAACATTAACTTTCGCTGGTTATTTCAGCACCGTCAAATGTGGTTGTGCGTGGCCGTTACACCCTTGTGCATTGTGTACCGGCCGACAAGACCCTACAGCACCAAGGGATCTACCCGACACGATGCCGGCATCGGACAGGGTGGCACTATTGGATCCCTGCTTCCATCCGATATTAAGCTTCCCCGAAGGTAAATGTCACACCACTGAAATACCCCCAAGGACCACTAAACCAACAATCCACCTTTCAGACGTGTCCCACAGTATACACTTCGAGGCGATCATGCGAATACCGGAGTGGCAGAACAAGATGATTCGTTGTACGGCAAAATCGCTGAACAAAAGCATCGCTCAGAAGGGTTCCGCCGGTGAATTCGCTTCCACCGGTTCGTCTCCACCGATCGTCGGAATGCTGCCCTCCAGTGCCACTCCTTCGTTCCTTTCGTCCGGTGACGAAGCAACGACACCCCTATCCGGAGGCAACAAGAAATACGGTCCGGACGGAAAACGGAAGTACAACAAACACAAGCATGGTTCACAAGAGCAGCCAAATCACAGTAAGTTCCATCTCAGCTCTATTGTTTTCAATTATCCGCGGTGTAGGGGTAAGAGGGACATAGTGAACAGGTGGGGCATAATGAGTCCCAAACCTCTAATTGTTCGAAACAAACTAATTGGTAGTAGGTTCGATATCACCATTGCAAAGTCTATTGACCAATTAAAGACTCTACTTGAAAAAATGGTCGCCAAAAATTCATTTTAAGTCAGATTTTCTGAGTCATTGTGTTATTGGATCTTCCCTTCACAACCGAATGCCCGCACCTTGTCCTTGACACTACTCACAAGGTTTTGGGCAATGGTGGGGCCGACTTCTTTTGATACTAAGTAAAGTCTTTGTTTCTTCAGTTTTGAGCGTTGTGATGTACGGCTGGTTCATCTTGGGGGCTGTTCATTAACTACGTAGACAGTTTTTTGGGATTATTACCCCCCTTCCCCTGTAACAAATTTATCCATACATTTTTTTATTTGCATGCAAAGATAATATTTAGCTATGACTTGCTTGGCTCAAAAATCGAACGCGTGAAGCAAGTGAAAGACTCGGGTGTAATCTTGGATTCGCTGCTATCATCCAAGCAACACATTGCTTAATATATTATGTTGTCGATAAATCGTCTATTTTTTTTTTTTTTTTTTTCCTTTGGTTTGTTTTTTTTTGTCGATCTTGTTTTCCGTGCTGAGAACCAATGCTACCGACGTGCCAGGAAGGCAGCTCCCACACCTGGACCCTACCTATCGACCCATCAACTCATGAACCGGGGACCACCGGCTTTACTTCTCATCCGAAGGAAGGCGTGATCAGAGATGTTATGCCTCAGAACATCCCGGCGGCGCCGACTGGGATTGAACCAGGCCTGCTGGGGTGAGAGGTAATCACGCTTACCACTACACCACCGGCGCCGTTAATAAATCGTCTAGAACGGGTTCATTTTCCGAATAGCTAAAAACTTCACCGACATCTACTGTCTAAAATCTCTCTATTGTTCTCTTGTTCGATCGACGCTTGAGTATTGTTCAGCGGTTTGGAACCCAAACTACAACAACGGTGCCGAGAGAATCGAATCTCTTCAACGTCACTTTCTTAGTTTTGCGGTACGTACGTTGCGTTGGAATGATCCGTGTCGATTACGTAGTTACGAAAGCCGTTTTCAACTTATCGACCTAGAACCTCTCCGGACTAGAAGGGACATAAGCAGAGCCCTAACCGTCGCCGATATCCTGCAGAGAAGGACAGATTGCGAGGCTATCCTGAGACAAATTAACGTGAATGATTCAAGCAACCTCATGCTAAGGCTGCCTCTACGTCGCACAAATTATGGAGCATACCGTGCGATTTGTGGGCTGCAGAGAAAGTTCAAAGATTTGAATATGTCTTCGACTTTCATCTCACCCGTGATGCGTTTCGTCAAAACTTTTCTTCCGTTTTTCGCCGGCAGGAGCAACTGACTATAAGATAAATGTTTTGTTTTTGTTTTTTATGTTATGACAATGCTGGAATGTTTTTTTTTTACTCTAGTTAATAAGGTTAACATCATTGGGAGCACGAGATGAACTAGCCAATGAGCTAAAAAGCTCGATAAAGTGTAAAAAAATCATTAGCCTGCCTAAACACATGTTTAACTAGAATATAATTATTTCTAAACCCCTATAGAAGCTTCAAGAGGCTAATCATAAACTTGTTTAAATTCAATAAAAATTCAAAAGAAAATTTCAATTTTTCAGACACATTAGTCTACTCATAGGATAAGATTCTACAGGGCAAAAAGAGCACCAGCATGATCGTAGGCATAAATAGCCTTTTTGTCAAACATTTGAACTACAGTAAAGTCCCTAATGGTAATGTTATTTTCTTCAAGATTCATTAAAATTACAAAATCTTGCAATAAAGTTTCACGAAATTTTATTTTAAGCCGGAAATTTTTCCTACATTTTTAAAACTTTTAACATAAATTGACCACTTTGTTAAGCAGTTTTGGCGTGACTTTCTACCAGCGATTTCACAAAACTGGACCAACTAATTTCTATTTTTTTGTGCAACGCACAAATGTTGGCTATTTTTTTTCGAGGTTCTAGAAGAAAAAATCTAAAAATAATGTTTCATTTCAAAGTTTGAGTGGTAGTAAACGTCATTTTATCTGCTCGAATGAAGTGGTTAATTATGTCGTTTTCGTTTTTACTACACTACACCGGTGTAAGCAGCAATAAGCGCGAGGCATTGACAGCTCATCATCATTTGTTTGTAAACAAAGGTGCAACCGATAGTTACACCCTAATTTTTTCGGTGTACGGCGGTGTAACACCGGTGTAGCTACACCGCAAAAACGAAAACAACATTATGCCGTTTTCGTTTTTATTACACTACACTGGTGTAGTGTAAGCAGCAATAAGCGCGAGTCATTGACAGCTCATCATCATTTGTTTGTAAACAAATGTTCAATCGATAGCTACACCCTAAAAATGTTCGGTGTTCGGCGGTGTAGCACCGGTGTAGCTACACCGCAAAAACGAAAACGACATTAGTCTGCACAGTACTATTTATGTTCAACTATCATGACCAAACTGTTTTATTATGTTTTATTTATTTTTGATTGTTTTGATCTCCTCGGTGATCATTTGTGTATCTCAGTGTGCTGTGACAAAAGATGTTGACTAAAGCGATCTGTCAGCTTCCCAGGCCGTAACAGAATATCTACAAGATCGAAACTATTCACATTCTCACCCACTGCCTTCTTTTGCGTTTCAGAACTCAAAAAATCGAAATCTCGGCAAAATCTACTGTCTGCCGGCGGTAGTCGAAAGCCCTCTTCTGTCGGTTATCCTCCCGGTGCCAGTGGTCAGTACGGTGCTGCCAGCGGATACGGTGCCACTCCGGGAGGAAGCTCCAACAAGTACTACAAAAGTTCCAGCAGCAAGTACCGGAAATCGTCGCATTCGTCAACGACGATGCCCAGCGGCGCGGGTGGTAGTCACAGTCGCTATAACAGTGGCGGTTATGATTACCTGGATCCTACGGGGATGCATCACGACGGTGCTGGCAGCGGTAGCAGCAGGAGCAAGAATTCATCCCCGACGCCGAACCATCATCGAAATGAACGGTAAGTTTATTTGAAAGCTGATTCAGATATGATTGATATTTTCTATTGGCATTTTTAGGAAAAGTCGAACCTCGTACGACATTGATAATATTGTTATTCCGTATAGCGTAGCCGCAGCAAATAGAGTAGAAATTCTTCAGTATAAGGAAATCGCAACACCAAAGTAAGTTTGATGCTACTGTCTGGTTTGTTCGTTGTAAATAATTCGTGTTTTACCACCCACTAGATGGCGCGTCGTCGGCGATAACGAGGAAACCACCGAATTGGATAGCACTGCAAACAAACCCCTCGATAGCACGACGGATTCGGGCATCGCTATTACTAGTCACCCTGTAAAGACAGAAAACAGTGATCTGAGGCCAACAGAAAGTAAGCAACTGGCTACTCCAAAAGTACCTGCAACAGCCGGCACCATCAAACCAACCCAGTCGGTCTCGGAAACAGTTTTACCAGTATCTACAAACATTGCTTCCGATGTTACCAAATCACTGTCAGAGGGACAATTGATTGTGCTGGCAGCGATCGAGGAGGAGGATATTTCCGATGAGACGATATTGGTTAAACATGATCGAGCCCTGCAGGACGAACGGAAAAAATTCCGAACTTACATGAAGTTCCCCTGGAGTAGGCCCCGGGCAAACCGACGAATCGATAGTCGAGCGGAATCCAGTGGTGGTAATACTCCGGATCCAACGTCGCCTGCACCACCTACTCCTCTGGTGGATCAAGAGGTAAGTTTAACATGATTGGGTGATTAGAGATTGGATTTTTTGACTGATGATTTTGATTTTTACAGTCCAATACTTCACCTGCATGCCCTTCAACGCCACTTACGCCGCTGGATTCTCTAGAACTGTCTGAGACGAACGTCATCAATGGTAAGTGGTGACAAAATCACAAACATTCGTTGAAACATCAAATCTTTGTTCATAATCCTTCAGCTCTGAACCAGAGTCTCTTCAAGAAAGAGCGAAGGCGAACCGTTTCCACCAAAACTACTAAGGATGAAATTCCACGCAGCAATTCTCCGGATATCCGAGAGGTAAGAGTTTTATCATGTAACAGTAATTGCCAATTTGTATAAAATCACACCCTCCTCGCAGATAATTCCACCGTACGAGCCACTTGAGTTTCCCCTGCCGGACGATATGTACGAAGACATGGTACGTACGATGCCGAGTGACCACCTGGCCCTGGTGGAAGATGCCATAAGTAAGCTGACGCGCCCGAATCGACCTAACAACAATGTACTGCTGATCAACCGGAACAATCTGAATCTGGTTCCCTCTAGCAGTGGCCATATTGAAAATCCTTTAAGTTCAAACCTTTCCACAACCTCGACGACCCTCTCGGCGACCGAAAATGATCCGGACGATTTGGACTGCGACTACGATGAGCTTTTGCAGGCCAAGAAACTTGAAAACAAAATCATCATGGAAAAGTTACTGAATAGCTGCGACGAGAATCGAATGTTCGTTGGGGTGCGTGAAGTGTTGGATGATGACGACCCTATGGATGACGAGGAAACCGACACTGGCGAATCGCTTTTTGTAGAGGAAGACGATCCAAACGATCCTGAATGGTACGATCGGCCAGGACGGGGTCGAACGTAAATTGATGCCCTTTTTCCCTACCTTCATCAGGAAAGGCTCTGATCTCGATCACCGCAGGAGTTTGGTTTCATAATTTCGGTTTGTTATTTCTTTCCTTAGGCTACAGCTTTCGTTTTAATTTTTTTTTTACAAAGTAGGCTCTAACCGATAGCATTCTCCAGTAGCTGTGTGTACAGATAGTAATGATTCGTGTTTAAGACAAGTACCATTGAGGAAACAAAAAGCACAGAGGAAAAATATGACCATTATTTACTTATGTCTAACAATTATTTCACATATGCAACAAACCCCAATGAATTTCGTTGTAGATTCAGCTACACTTTACTAAATGTAGGTATTTTGTTAGCATTCAATATGGATAATAGAATGTTTGATTAAGCTGACAAAAATCTCTCACCACAGATCGCCGGGCATTACACTACTCTCAAGATTTAAAATAAGAAGAACAAAAGAATAATCACATAGAGAATAACCTTACATCAACTACAAAATTAGCATATGTTGAAACGTTTTACACACAAACAAAAACGGTAGACATCTGTGAATAAAGGCAGATAGTTAAGTCAAAACGAACGCGTGAGAAACACACCCGGAAAATTCCTGTTTTCCTGTGAATTTGTAAATATTCCACTTCACTGTAACGCCACAACCTGTCACATAACCTAAATTTCCAGCTGTGTTTAATTTCCCTCTGCTTTCCTCAGGAACATGAGTTTGTAGATTTAAAATATAACCAATTGTGAATACAAACTCAATGATAATAAATATTTACGATTATTTGAACCTTCTGTTAGTATTTTTTTATAGGGAAAAAGTAAGTTTTCCGATAATTTTCATTGTCAATTTGGTTTATTTTATTCTGAAAATTTTATCGTTGGCAAGGGTTATTGAAGCAAGTGTTTTTGCATTAGGCAGAAAGCTAAGAAATAAAATACAACAAAAAAAATCGTCATAACCCAGTAGTACGTAAGGTTTCTTGATCGAAATCAGACATAAAAGAAAAAATTAAAAAAATACAAACTGTAGAATAACTGCAGAATTAAATAAGTGTAGGGCAGAAAAATAAAATCTGTCATCAGAAAACTTGTCATAATAAAATGCTCGGCGCTTGGCTTCTTGTTAGGACAGAATGCCCACGGTCGGGATCATTTTTTGAAACCACGAAGACATTTTGCACCATTTAGATCTTTTGAAAAAAAAAAGAAATTCCTGCGTCTAACCTCTTATCTGCCTTACCAAATAGGGGCTATGCATTGATTATGTCATGCGAAATTGATATTGCCCTGATTGAAAAGTTGATATTTCTTGTGGCCCTTATTACGGGTGTCACTTCACGGTGATTACGAAGTGAAGGGACAATTTTTCACTCACGGTGATTTGCTCGGGAATCGCTTCGTGAAGTGACACCCGTAATAAGGAGAGCACTACGAAAAGCCGAATCACAAAAGACCGAAAAGCTCGGGAAAGCGCGCTCACACCGGTCCACTTTGTCGCTTTCCCGAGCTTTTGTTAATTTGTGTTTAATAAATTAAATAACATTATTAAACAACATAATTTTCATAAATTATTATTCTGCATCTTCGAAATAAAATATAATGGAAACTACTTAATAGTCATTCGATTTCCGTAATGAAAACGTGCCATTCAACGAGGCGACTCAGTTATAAGAGTAGAAAGACTTCAGATGCTGAATGAGAGAGAAAGTGATAGTTAGCTTTATTTTTCGGATATTTGAGTATTCAATGACGATGATGGCGATATGGTGTCTTCGTTCAAGATGAAATTCAATATGGGAGTTATTCTCAAATCGAATATCGTCCTTGGCAGCGATATTACTCTTGGTCCGTTTTGCTGAACGTTCTAGCTACACACATTCAACTGCTTGCGCAACTCGCAATCCAATCAGAATGTTGCTTATGCGTAAATAAACCTTACCCTTCTCTTATCCGCAGCTTACCACTTACTGGTTTTCCCCAAGAAGTCAGCAAGTGAGAACACCTCCATATCTAATTTCATCTTGGCTTCATTTTTTTTGTGAATGCAAACCATTTAATGAGCCGAGTAAGTTGTGCGAGCAGAAAGGCTAACATTGTTTGGATGCGGTTTTCAACAAAATAAGTTTTTGATAAATTTTCGGCCTTTTTGGTTCTCGGCCTTTCTGCCTTTTGGCCTTTTATGATCCGGCCTTCTGTACGGGTCCCGTAATAAGGGCCTGTAGCAAATTTTCCTAAGCCATCACCAGTATTCCGCACCAATCCGTCGTCTAGTCGCTATAGAATCTTGGGAACCAATTGAGCTGTCAAATAGCGGAACCAATCGAGCAAATCACGACCAAAAACAGAAAAGAGCACATCAGCTATTGCGAACAAAACTTCGGAAACCCTTTTCTCGTGACTCAAGGCTCGCCTACGCAAACTAACACCATCTTTGGGTTGGGGAAAGTTTCTCCTATCCGATGATCCCGGTAATTTGCGTTCGATTGGCGAGGAAAGAATAATCAACGTTTTGTTTATAGAAGTTGATAGTACCTTTTCAATTGTTGGTCTAAAATATATTGAATTGGTTCCGCTTTTTTATAGATCAAAATTCTATCCGCCAGACTATGAATATAGCGACTATAATCCTACGCCGGATTATAGTCGCTATATTCATAGTCTGGCGGATAGAATTTTGATCTATAAAAAAGCGGAACCAATTCAATATATTCAATATATATTCCAAGCTTCCAAAGTCCAAAAGCTCAACGTTGCGAGTCCGTCGACCAACATCAGTATCACCATCTTGTGTCACAACAAAAGCGAGTAGACAAGGTATCCGCTATACCTACCCGTCACCATCGCCGCATACACCAACCAGTAAACAACAACGCGTGCAACGAAACATCACCCAGCAACATTGAACAGTAAATGAAGCCCACTAACCCTAGCTAGGAATCAATGAATAATGTTGAAACGACTTTGGTGAAACTGCATGCCCTGAGAAACCGCGGAATCTGTGTAGTATGAGGTTGGGTATGAGACACATTTGAAACACATTCTTTTGTCGGTAGTAGCTCCCTGTAGGCAACGTGGGGAAAACCATCATAGGAAACCCTACTTGCCGGTGATTTTAGTCCCCTAAACCCTGTTGGCATTCCATTCGTTTGTTGAGTTCAGGGCAAATATTGCCGCCAATTGTTGGAGTTTTGATAAACCTGCCCTAAGGTCTCTAACCGGAACGGGATTCGGATTCTGAGAACTTGCCCTTTCATGGTAACCTGGTGTTACCTGGCGCTTAAGTGAAGGCCGTGATTTTCCTTTCTCCTTAAAACATCTCCCGACCCGTTACATATTATTATATTGATCTCTAGAAAACAAGAAAGCTTTTGTTTCGAGCAAGTTACCATAATATGTCATCTAGATTGATGGTAAACTTAAAGTGACATTTCTATCAGTTTGATCAACAAAAAAATAAAGTTCGAGAGCAGTTTTGATGTTTTCCCTACCTTGAACTTTAGGCAAAGCTTGACAAAAATGTTTCAAATTTTCTGAGCAACGGAAGCATTTTTATTTAACGGAAAATTTCTATCAAACAGAATTAAGTTCTAAAAACACTTTGTCACGTCACGAAATGTTTTACTTCTAGTACACACTTAAATTGTTTCGCCGAGATTCCAACAGCCGAGTAGTTCTGCAATTTATTTTGCTGAGATTCAGTAAAACAATTGCCGAGACTCAGCTAATAAATATCATTTTGCTGAGATATCAGCTAACAAACAGATATATCAGCAAAAGCAAATGCCGAGGCAATCGGCTGTTGGAGATTTTACCGAGCTAGATTAAGTGTGTAGCAATTGAATAAAAGTAAGTACTTTCTATTGGTACACACAGTATTGCCATATTATGAAACTAAACCTGATATGGTTCTTTCTATGAATCTATGAGGGTTTTTCATGGCTAACATTATTGGGAGAGATTGCTTCATTGAAAATAAAAGTCATTTAAAAATATTAAGAACATGGTAATCAGGGCAAAACAGGCTAAATGGCAGCTGAAACCCTGAGGCTGTGTCCCAATTGCTGGGTTAAATTTAACACATCGTTAAAAGTGATGGAAAGTTATCGATTACCCCTAATTGATATCCGAGCGTGATTATTTCTGACAGATTAAAATGTAGATTTTAACATCCGTACACGAAAACTAGTCGATCGATAACACAGTGGTTTTCGAACATGAATAAAAATATTTTCGAAAACTCACTCGTTCTCTGATGAATACAAAAAGAAGTTTTAGTTGTTTCAGCATGATTAAAAGTTTTGAGAGATACGAAATTTTGCAAAAATCGACAAATACCCCAACATACACTATTCATCAAAAGATGAACACCCATATTCTGTATTTCGTTCGAAACGAAATACCTATACAAAAAAAATATTTCTTTGTATGAGAATTTCGTTTTGAACGAAATACAGGGGTGGAAACCAATTCTATTCGACTAACGATTTTGGAATCACATGCATTTTGACTTCTTAGCTTTCTACAGGTTATAATAATTGTAAACCTGATTAGCTGATAACGTTCAAAGCTTAAAAAATATCCGAAAAATATGAAATAGATTTTGAGGTTTTTAATTGCAGAGCACAGCCAAACCACAGACAAACATACATAACACATTGAATATTTCTCACTGTGACAAATCGTCGCTAAAACATTACCACCATCTGTTGAGTACACTGTGGTGGGTAGTACCATATAGGTAACTCTAAGACCAGAAGGTCCCGAAGAAACTTGCTCAACTTTTTGGCTCAGCTCTGGTACTATCTATGGTATCCGCATTAACCGTGCGATCGAAAGAAGTTGAGATTGTTGTATTCGCGATTACCGTGTTGGCGAAATACGTTTAACGGAAAACAACGAAGCGAACTCGAGTCTGATCAGTCCGATCGGGTGATCTATCACCGTTCGATAGGTGCAAAGAAAGCGAAATAAAATGTGGAACGTCACTATCATACTGAACTCCAAACGGTGTAGTATCATAGAGGTAACTCTAAGACTAGAAGGTCCCGAAATAACGTGCTCAACTTTTTGGCACCCCTCGAAACATAGGAAAATCCAATAACCCCTCATTTTATCTGTCAAAATTTCATAGCGAATCAAAACAAACATTGTGTAGTACTAGAATTTTGACTAGAATGGGGTTCGTTAATCGATTTGCTTGGGACCAATAGGCTAGTCAAGTAGTGAGCCAATTTAAAATCGTTGGTTTCGTATTGATTGTTGGTAATATCAACAATCAATACGACACTAACGATTTTAAATTGGCTCACTACTTGACTAGCCTGTTGGTCCCAAGCAAACGATTAACGTACTCCATTCTAGTCAAAATACTAGTACTACACAATGCTTGTTTTGATTCGCTATGAAAGTTTGACAGATAAAATGAGGGGTTATTGGATTTTCCTATGTTTCGAGGGGTGAATCGATTAGCTTGGGAACGAAGATATTACCAGAGCTGAGCCAAAAAGTTGAGCACGTTTCTTCGGGACGTACTAGTCTTAGAGTTACCTCTATGGTAACATTACACAACAAGCGGAATTAGCAACAGATTGTTTGGGTATAATATTCAACATTTTTTTCTGTATTTGTCAGATTAGTATGTGGTACAGTAATAATTCGGTTTTGTCAACCCCTCCGCGCATTAGACTTTTATCATTAAATAATTTCATAAAATCGTAATTCCAAATCATTCTCATGCATCTTCAAGATGGGTGTTTAAGGTATAATTTTGTCCAACAAGAAAACATTACAAAAGATTTTCAAAACAGGGGTTGGCATTACTGTATATGTCTCCAGTGGGATCCCTTGGTCTCCTTATCATTATCACGAGCTGACATATACTAAATTGTCCTGAAAAAGAATTAATTAGGGGAATTTACGTATTCTCGTCAATCTAAGCAGCGTCTGCACTTCTACTAGCATTTTTTCAGCGTCACGCACATATATGATGTGTCTGTTTGTTTACATTCATCTGCTGCTTGCTTCTCTATCCATTCCAATCGACAGAATTTTTCAAAACGTTTTGAAAGCGTTTTTACAACGCTCCAAACTTCTCAGGTGAGTGTGACTATTGTCGGCAGCCTCTTTTTCTTCGGCAACCTTCCCATTAGAACTGCGTGTTAACCAGC